GTGATGATCACAAGACCATTTATTCATTGAACAAAAACTCAAGAGTTCAGATTTTTCACGTCCAGTCGATTAGCAGAATATGCATTACCTAATGCTATCGTTGAGTAAACGTTTTATAGCTGAATCAAGTGACTTTACAATTCACGGCTTCGTCCTGGGACATTGGAAGATTCATCTAGAATTATCTATTTAAAAAAATGCGTTGAAATGTTAGAAAAAAAGTGAAAACAACTAGAATCTACAATCTAATTAGACAATGATGTGATTGTCTCATTTAATCACTGTATCTAACAAAAGACGACATATAATACTTTGAAAGTATGAATGTTAAATAACGTTAACTGATTTCAAACACATTCAGTAATCAAAATGTAATTATTTTGAGTAGAGCAATTAATAAACTTATTAGAATACATAATGAGAATTGTAAAATTGATGGTAAAAATAGGAACTTTCTAATTGATGAGATTATAATTTATGGATGACCTTTGAGAGATTCTGAAGTGACCTTTAGGGTGTCCACCTGATATCTAGGACCAAATGAGGGTTAGGAAACTATGGGGGATTAGAATTATGATTTTCAGTTGATGGTTAAGGTTAGGAATTAGATTTACGGTTTTTCATCACGAACTGACATAAGCTACAATGCCAAAACTCTATTTATCCAAATGGATGAGTGCCAAAATCTGAGACCTGTTATTTTATACATGATTGGTTTGTCCATAAATTATAGTCTCGCCTTCTAATTTACTTTTACCGATAACAAATTTTACAAGAAATAAAAAAGTTTTAACAGTACATTGATTTATGGTTAATGACGACCAACTGACGTATGAAATAGATAGCATTTTCCACTGATTATCTTTAATAATTCAACTATGAAAATATCACACTTTGCAAAGTTCGTCTTTGCATACATTCTTACGTAAATATTATGTAGAAATATTGAAATGCAATGTCTATGCATTATAACATTTATAATTAACTGTTGACAGCTGATTCAGTGTTAAGAAACATCTCTCTCTGATATGCTAAATGATATAGAGTTGTATCTCTAAGATGAAATGCATCACCTTTAGGAAGCAGAAACAATAAGCCTAAAACCTATGTTCACAGATTGATTTTATTTGTCTTCCACCATACATATTTCATCGTTTCAATGTCTGATAATCAATATTGGTTGGTAATTGAATAGGATCTTTGTAGTTTTAATAAGTATTAGACTTGTATTTAGTCAATGTATTTCATGGATTTTACAACAAATAAATATAAAGTCAGTTTTCATTAAGGAATAAAATTAGCTAGATAACCATTGGAAATCGAAGAGTACTGGACAGCATTTTTATTCTATCTTCAGATTCAAAACCCTACTTTGGATCGAATTCAAAACTTTTCAAACTCATACAGAAGCTAATACTTTTAAACTATTCAGTTGGAATCAAACAGTCGTCATTTTTTATTCAAATCACTTTCTGAAATAATCCACCCATAATCAATAATTGTTTCACTTCTAATTTAATAGCGTTTTATGTATCACAGTTCCCTAATAAACAGTTCAGATAATTATCTCGAATGTAATCACTAGCATGCAAATAATTATTGAGAACATAAGGAGTTTGTGAAAAATGTTTACTTTGAAGTTTGTTTTCATCATAGGTTTATAACAATCGACAAACCATTCAAGATAAGAATGAACACACTTACTTTTACCGAACTATGATAAAACAGCTTTCTTATGTTATACCCGCATTCCAGCGGTTCTTCAAGTGGTGTCATACAATCACTTCTCGTTAATAATGACTTATCATTAATAGGACATATATTATCAATAATAATATTAATAATAGGCCAAATGTTGAGATTAATATAGAAGGATTTGTGAAGATTGTAGAATTTTCATGATTTAAATCACGAATCAACCTTAGCTAGACCACCGTTGAAAACCTAGATGGACACTCTTAGGGAGTCCTACACTAGGATTAAACGACCATCTATTGCTTCCAAGCTTTTAATGTTAGTCTAGTTAATAATTTAAAATATGAAAATATATTTAGGTGTTTATCACATAGTGAAAAATTTAATCCTATCAAAGCTTCAAACTATTTAGAATAATCAAAATAATTGGCCAAACTTTAAAATATTGTTTCCATACAAAATAAATCCGTAAAATCAAATCTGTTTCATTTTTTTTGTAATGAACAGAAGCGTATAAGATCAAACAAACTTTAGGTGAAAATCAATAATGCACTTTTTTTTGGTTTTTTCGATCAACAAAAAATGACTTTCAGGAAATGAATTTGAAGGATAGATAGAAATATACTTCGGTATTGACTTGTCAAGATTTTTAGAAAAATGTTAAATAAACCAATTTCTACAGAATTGTGTAAGAATAACACAGTATGATACAATTCTCAACATTAAAATTAGGTTGATTTATAGTCTGTCATGAACAGCTAGATAATCCCTAACATTTGACTATCTAGAACTTAAACTAAACCATATCTGTTTTCCCAGGAATCCTATTTTTATTCTTGAATGAATGACATGAATTTGTAGGGATTTCTACATCTCTTTTACTAACCCCACCCCACCCCACCATAAATTTTGATTGAAACAAATTTTGGGGATGTAATAGTAAACAATGTCTATGTACTGTATGTATAATCAAACAATTACTACGACATAATGAAAAGTTATCAAAATTAATAAACGGATGCAAATGTCATATAAAGTTGAAGCTGATAATATTACATTCCTTTAAAAAATATGGTTTCGAAAGCATTTTTTCAATGAATTACTATGAATAAACTGTAGTTATGGTTGAATCGATAGAAAGTCTATTCTCAGAAGGGGTTTGTGGAGATTTTAGAAATTTCACAGATTGAAATCATGAGTCAATTGAAGCTAGACCACCATGGAAAACCTAAAAGCACTGGACGACCGTTTCATCGTAGTATGGGACTCCTCAGCAGCGCGCATCCACGATCCCTCACCCCGTGAGATATCAGCTCATTGAAGACAATGGTAAACGGTGTCGCAGCTTCGTGGATTGGTTGAAGCTAGACATTAACACCATTGGATGACGGCTCGGTGGTCTAGTTGGTTAAGCGCTTTACGCGAGACTAATAAATCCTGGGTTCGAATCACGCGAGGTAAGGGATCGTGGATGCGCACCGCTGAGGAGTCCCATACTACGACGAAACGGCCATCCAGTGCTTCCAGGTTTTCCATGGTGGTCTAGGTTCAACTGACTCATGATTTCAATCTGAGAAAGTCTATTCATCGCTAAAAGTACATCAAATGTATATGGGTGAAACCAAATATTCATAACTCTCATAAACTTGCAGTTATGTTTGGAAGTAATATTTACTTATCCTAAGTTGTAACTTTCATTGTAGATAAACTTTGGATTGTTGTCTAATTTTTCGGTGATACTGCTATATTCTTATATTGTTTAATTCTCTTAGCTGAATGGCTCAATTGCTGAGCTTTTATTATCATTATAAACAAAATTATGGGTCAATTCTATATGAAACCAATGATGACGATCTTGTCTAGAATGGCAATTAAAGCTCTTTAATCAAATTATCTAACTTAGAGAACTCAACAACTTCAAAATTATCTGAATAATCTATAAACCTTTTACATCACAAAATACTATAACTTACTTTTCATTATTTAAACACCAAGTAGAAATGACTCACGGAAGCTACAGAACTTAACTGATATCCATTTAAGTTCAAATCTATTGTGCAAACAAAAGCACGTTATAGTACGGTTAATGTAAATACAATTAGAATAATTAAAATGTCAACCTTCAATTGTGATAAATTATGCTATACACAAAAAAAACAATAATGTGGAAGAATTAATCATAACTGATCAATAGCAAAACTAAACAATCAATTACAGACACATAATTCAACAGTGCGATAGCCTTTCATATTCTTCCCAAAAAGGCACACAAAAAACTGTATTACTCTTTTCTTGTTCATTTGTAGTAACTTGGAGCAGTCAATTATTTGCTACGAATATAATAACTAATTCATGTAGGTATCATTACCAAGGTTTGACTTAATAAATTCAAATAAATTAGGCATTGAGTAGATTGTTTTAAGTAAAAATAAATTCGATTAATTATTCTCTGAAGAAGTGGCTTACATTGAGTCACAAAACGTTAGAATATTTAATTTTCCTACTCATTGGGATATTACCCAAATTTTTTATTCTTATTTGTAATTCATTCATAGCTTAAATAATAGTGGCAGAAGTTCATGAACATAATACAAATGCGAAGAAAGAAATCATATCGGGTTATGCAATGGTTTCATAAGTAACAATGTGTACACATAACAAACGATATTATACTGTTGTAAATTATCTCTAATGGATGTAGTATGAGATATCTTTAAACATGGAACTGATCGTCTTTTACAATAATCATTATAAGTGCATGTTTATGCACTACTGCAGTTTTGGGTTTAAAATTAAGAAAAAAAAAGTCGGATAACTATTGGAATGAGTGATTAGGTTATGTTGTTATATCCCTAGTGTAATTACGGAAATAATATCATCTCGATATCTTTATATCAATCGACTTGTTATGTTTAGTATACTGTCATAATTTTAGATCATCTATTGTGGTGAGTAGTATCTTTTACTAATGTTTATAACCACTACTATCGGAAGATTAGCTTAAGTTGAGCACGTTAGATTTGAAAGGTTAGTAAAGATTATGAACTATTCGAAACACAATTTTAGTGTAAACTGCTTATGTTAATTAACATCCATAAATTTGCATACCATAAATACATACAAAGATGCTATCTATGTAACCAGAACAAGTGATGACAAGTAAATGGATATAAATCTAATCAATGCAAAACGAAACAGCCTATGATCTTGCAAATTATCAACTGAGGGGTAGTGCATTTCAGGTTAGGCTGATATTCATATGTATCGAACATTAATTTTTAGTTATGCTTGCAGTTGCAGATGCTGTCCATGTTTCAATGACCTTGGAAAATAGAATTCCATTGACTGTTTTCTCTTACATCTTAGATATCCACCAGCTAGATGTTTGTATGTATTGTTTGCGCTTGCAAATGAATCCTACCTTTCCACTAATGTCTCCGTCTTTCTATTGGTTAATACCTATGTCAATACAGTAAGCCTTGTGCGCAAATTGGACTTCACGTGTCAAGCATGTAGAAACCTAGTGTAGATATACAGACAGGCATTAAAACTGAGTTCTATGATAAGATTACCTGATGCTGTCCGTCAATCTAATTTCATGATGTTGTTTTGCTTCAATTCCATCTGCAGCAACCACGTCTGCGCACATTGAACTTGGAGGAAGTTTTTTTCTTGGCAATTCCACGCGTAAATGAGTATACACAATAAGTATGATACCCTATCTACATGCTACTAATACTGTTTGAAAGAAGAAATTGAGAAAATTAAGTGATAGTGACAGACACACCTAAAATTATTTGCAAATCTTATTTCTAACTTCTATATAAAATTCAATTCCGGTATCTGGTATACTAAAACAAACACATTAATTGTTTCTCATATATAAATATATATTGTCTATATACATTTAATAAAGCAGGTTTATTATTACCCGTTAAATCAGGTGAGTGAAAAAAATATACTTCCTGTATATGTTAATCACTATAATAATTATTTTCATGATTGTCATTTCAAATAAAATATAAACTAACCGTTATATTCAGCGGTTCAATTATTTCTAAACAAATACATTGGTAATATTTGAATAAATAGTCATACTTAATAATGTTTGGTTTATTGGTTAAAGTATTACTAATGATAATAATAATAATAGACAAAGTGACCCCAAACTAAAATACTGTCTTGAAAAGTCAAAGATACTAATGTAAACTTCTATTAGTGTTAAAATAGCTGGTTTATTGACAACATTTTCAATTGTTTAATCAAATCAGGATCCAATTTATTCAATGTTCATAATTGTTCATTGATTAAACAACACCATATTGTGTAACACAGATCGGTATAACACAATAAGAAGTATAATGATAGTTGTTGTCGGGGGGGGGTATTATCATATACTTTATAACTGTCTAATGTGTTGGTGACGATGTTGTATGTTATCAAGCAGATATTTGTATAATAAGGTTGTCACAATTACATTAGTTCTTTATCGTGTATCTTCCATCGAGGTTGGGTGCTATTCAGTTTTCTGAACTTTTGTAAATTTTTTTCACTCGCAACTAAAGTTGATCTAACTTGGCAAGTGATTTTACAAGTCATTAAGTAAATAAATAAAGTCATTGTCATTTAAGGTTATATTCAATATTTCATTAACTTATTGATCAAAAACAACCGATATACTTTAGAAGTCGTGAAGATCACCTTTACGTAATATGTACATTCTTTTCTAAATATTTTTTTGTTTTGTAGAACTGAATTGTAGGACTGGTCATATATTATAATCTACTTTGTCTACGACTGAATAATTATTTCACTTTTTAGAAATATTTTATCAAAGTATTAATAAGATAATAGCTAAAATATTTGGCTTTGGACAAGGTATATCGATGGATCTAATGAGACATCTGATTAACTAAATATTTGAAAAAGAAATCACTCATTATAAGTAAGATTAGTATTAGAACTACAAAAGCATAACAATGACCACTACTTAATGATCAGTTGACGTAAATATCTCAATTCTACAAGAGCTCAACAGTAGGTCAGCGGTAGCGTTCCATAAGCTGGATGATGTGAGTTCGAATCCCACAGAAATTATCAGCTCCTTCAAGGTCAGATGTATACTTTAGTGACGAGTGACAAATATTATGAAACATGAATCTAGGATTTAGTACCGATTCCGTCAACCACTTGGCACTAATAGTTTAGTATATTAACATAGGTTTATGTTTACAGTTTTTAAAAATGAATATCTCACCCGTTTGTTACTTTGTAACTTTCAGAGTTAATTATGAAATGTGCTACTTTCCATAATCCATTCCTATGTTACTTTTGCTTGTATGATTACTTATATTGATAATAATAATAATAATAATCCAAATCGAAACCAAGGTACAACCTCTTGTACGTATCTTAATTGACTTCGATTAGAACAAGATTCGAACCTGTAACAATCCGAGATTAAATGAGTTTTTTCGATAACGAAGTTTAAATTCACCTTAGATTATCATTAAGTTGTCAAATACTTGACATTAATCTAAATTTTTTCATCTGTTTTAAATTATAAATATGATCCCGCTAAAACCACCGTTAGATGTTTTCTATTTATGAAAATATCTAATATTTTATTAATCTAATGAAAAGAAGGAATAAAGCCGTCTATATTAGAAGAATTTGTAACTTGTGAATTGTCTTCATGGAATTTTATTCTGCAATGATCTAACGATTAATGATATAGAATAGATGGAATGTGGTTAGCAGTGAAATCCAGGGCTCGCGTTACGTCCTATTTAAGACTCATCAGATCAGTGTACACGTATCACAGGTTTAGTGTTCACCTCAGAACTCGAACCCAGTACCGTTCGCTTTATCCACTTATCTACTGTGTTCAAGTAGCAACTCACTTTTGCAACGAGTATGTGATTTAATTGAATTAAAAATGGTTTAGCTTATACCGTTGTTGATATTTTTGACTGAAATCTAGTCAGTCTTGAGTGGGATATGTCTATCTTGTGTGGATTGACTCGATATAACCATGATGACACAAACTGATATCTAATAGATGATTTCGAACCATACATTTTATATTTGAACCCATGTTTACTCAGGTTTGGACAAGCAGATAGCGTAACTAACCTAGACTAACTAAAATTAACGCTTATAGACGATTACTCAACCCACTTTGCATCATAGTGTATACTTATAATATCCGAGAATTAATTTAAGCACAATTATTGAGATTAAAAATTGTCCTTGTCACATACTGCATCTTTTTTATAGTAAAAATACTGATTATTAATTTTGTTGTCTTAATATGTTTTTAGAACATAATTATATCAAAGTTTGTTAATCCCCACTTGTGATTACTTAAGCTCTAAGGTATTGAACATTTGTTACCACCGCTCATCACCAAGCTATTTAACATATAAATGAACATGGTTCGACAATAAATCATTTGAGAACCTCAAAAATGTTATAATTTGACCATAATAAATAAATAAAAGTAATATCTCACTTCATAAACATTCTTTATCGAATCTATATAATCAGTTTGGGGGATTTGGGGGAATTGTTGTATTTTCAGAGTTGAATTCACGAGACAGTCTAAGCTAGACCACCATTGAAAACCTGGAAGCTCTGGGTGGCCGTCCCGTCCTAATATGGAACTCCTCAGCAGTAAGAGTCCACGACCTCGCATACGAAACTCAAACCTAGGACCATAGATTCTCACTGCTAGGGAGTTCCATACTAGGACGAAACGGCCGCCCAGATCTTCCACGTTTTCAGTGGCGGTCTAGCTTAGACTAACTCGTGAATTCAACTCGGAATATCTATATTACATTTCAGTAAGTGCAAGTTTAAGTATATTCTAGATTATTTTTCTTACACAAAATTGCTTGTACATTCATTGGTGTATTACAACTGATTATTTGTTTTTCTTTACATTAATAATTAGATGGAAATCGGTCCAAATTTATGTGTATGGCCAATTCAATCAGGTATAAATCACGAATTGAATTCTATGCAAACTTTATCACCTATTGTACAACAGAATAATTCCTTTGTGTACAGTCGATCAAATGATGTTGTACTAGAATTGGAAAGCGACAGTGAAACTGAATTGGAATCTACACCACATCTTGATCATCATGACCCAATAGAGAGTAAACATCAAGAAAATCCTTGTCAATCACAATGGAATACTAGATTAATTAATTTATCTACAGATGAAGATGAAGAAGATTATAACCAGTGTATTGACAACATTGAAATTGATAAATGCAATGTTCACAATAATCTTAATGATAATATAATAAATAATCATGGTAATACTGTTGACCGACAAGTTGAACTTGGAAAACAGTCATCGATAGATCATAAAAATCACCAAAACTTACAGAATTTTCATGATAAAACTGATGATAATGATGAGAATAATAATAACAATAAGGATTATACATGTGGATTTTGTGGCTTCGATTTTGGTACCGCTGAACAAGTAGAAGAACATGTCCTGTTGAAACATTCAGATAATTTAACTACTTCAAATTATAGTAGAACTGCATCTACGAATACTTCTAATTCTTCTTCTCCAACAGTTCTTACCAACACCATTATTACTACTAGCAATAATAATAGTAGTAATACAGTTACTATCACCAAAAATTCCAAACATTCAGAAGATCCTTCTTCGAAGTTCAGTAACCTCAGATCGATAGCAAAAGACAGTAGGAAATCACTAAAAAATGACAATGAAATGTTAAAAGAATTCGATAAAACATCTTCAACCGCTGAAATGGACGACCAACAATTGATAAGAAGTGATAATCCTTTTCCAGCACTTGTTACAAATAATCCTATGATAACTGACTGCCCTTTATGTGATCGAACATTTGTTGGACGTCGATCATTAAATATACATTTGAATAAAACACATTCTATTAAAGAAAATGGCAATAACATTAATAATAATACTAATAGTAATAGTATTGATAATCCTGGCAGTATAGCAAATAATACAGGTGGGTCACAGATAAGAGCATTCTAATACTATATTGATTAATTGTGTTTTCCTTTGACCGAAATTAAATTTCATGTCGGCGTTTTTAAAATTAATAATTTGCTATTTTGAATATATGATTCCATATAGACGATAAGTATTGCAAAATTACTTGTAATAACTTATGAGAGCCTCTACAGTGTGTCAGGAATAGTTTTCAAAGGTTAGTCGATTGGATTTTTTATTTTGTGTTACATAGACCAAACATGTCAAATTACATCGAGCTATTAAGATCAGCAAGTATTTCATGACTTCGTTCACAAAACGCAGCATTTCTACCTAAAGAGCTTTGACTACTGAAACAAATTTCAATAGTTTGAATTTGGCAGATTAATTCATTTGTTTTGGTAATTCCAACCTCAGCATTGATGTTTTAGACTGTAACTGATCAGTCTCTTTCGGCATATGTACACCCTGTACGGATTACCTCGATATCTCCCTAGTCCACAAACATTATAGGCAGAGATGGATGATAGCTAGCGATGGAATCTAGGACGCGCGTTTTTCCCAATTCGGAACTCATCATCTTCATGTACATGCATCCATGAGTTGATGTCCACTCGGGAACTCGAGTCCCGGTACCCTTTGCTTCGAACAACATCACGTCATCAACTTAGCTATTGAGTCCAAATAACCATTGGATTATGCAATCGGATATAGTTCAGTTCATCAGTATTGGTTGTTTGTATCTTCCCAAATGGTGTTTAGTACTGCAATTGGTTGGTCTCTTACACAAGTTAATAGCTATCTGGATTCAGTAGCTGAGTGGATAACGCGATGACGTTTTAAGAGGATAAATACAACTAGGGCTTTAAATCTTGGTTTTTACTAATATTTTATTACTACTAAGTTGACTAGTTTATAGTATGTGAGTGAAATATTTTAAAAGACAAAGCATTTATTGAGCTTTTTAATTCCTTCAATTGAAATTTAGTGGTTTGAATTTGTGTCAAACATTGACCTCGAAAACTAAACTCATTAATGATATTAGTTATGAGTTTAGTGAACTTATTCGGATATGTTTTCGGTCAAATGCTCCAGAAGATATGTTATTCATGAATATATGGTATTTACAAATAAAATACAATTATCAGTATATACTTAGGCAATAATGTAAAATACAGAATAATTTAAAGAACAGAAATCTGAAAATGTTTATGAGATTTTTAGGGCACGCTTAATGACTGATTCCATCGTAAGTTTGTACAAACTTAAGTGGTGGAAGTTGAACTGATTACTCATACAACTTTGTCGGGAAATTTAGTATTCGTATATTTTATTTCTTTGGAATAATTACCGGTTTGTCCACTCACTTATGAATGATGAATATTTTGTTCAAGTTCAGTTTATGTTTTGAGCTTCTAGTTGAGGAGTGATTGTCTAGGCTATTTAGTCATATCTTCAGGGAAATGAAACCCACCGATTTACCTTTTTTCTATTTCAAAATTGTAATGAGTAGATGTAAATAATCCTAATAATTTGGTATATTTGAGCAACAAATTTCTCTCTGTCTGATTATGTGTATATTTCGTAAAGCATCAATAAAGATCAATTACACAAAAAAAAACGATTATTGAGAACATAAAACAGCAATGATATGGTGTAGCAATAATAGATAGCTGTCTAATGATATGCTGAACTACGAATAAATAAGAAACAGGTTACCGATTAGGATACATACAGAAAGTTTACGCGAACCTAAGAATGTGCTCCTTACAGTTTCTAGTTGTGTGTTTAAAAGCTATTCCTGAGATCAATCCTATAGCCTATTTCAATTAAACGCTTTGGTACGCAGAGGCATGACGTTATGTAATCATTTGTGCGATGCTAAAGTCTACATTAGACAAATACACTACACTTCTTAGATCATCTCTCTCTTTAATTACACAGTTGAAATATCCTTATTATTGTAAGTTCAAGTTTATTATTATATTGTGGTTATATTAATCGACCATTTTCATGAATCAGAATTCATCATAATGTTCAAGAAGAAGGTTTTAGTTATAATACATTTAAATAATGACATTCATCTCCCTAATAAATCAACTAAATCATATCCTCATGATGTTTTCTTTTTCTAATACATTCTGTTCTAAAATAATCTCTATTAGTTATTTTAATATCTTGTTATAATTTAGATGCCCAACAATTGAAGATCAATTCTGTGTCGAAATTAACTCGCCTTGCATGTTCTCGTTCTTTAAGAGGATTTGGTGGGAATAAAAACAATGATGTTAATAATAATATTAATAAAACCACAAGTGAAACAACAAAATCTACGACTGAAAAGTCTTTATGCAAAATTGTAGTTCGACCACCGATTCTCCCAAGACCATCTCGTACGACTAATTCCATTAATGGTTCGTCGACATCTCCATCTAAAATAAATGTAGACAAGAAAAGCTTACAAAGTGAATCATTACCATCGTCATCATCAACTTCACAAGATATTTCTGTATCTAGAAATAATGAATCTGAAGAGTTAAATCCTCAAAAATCTCGGCCAACTGTCTATGCAGTCTCACCTCCATTAGCAACAGAGCAAAGTAAGTAATATATTTTATTTGTTTTTTCTTTAAAGTTTCGAAAGCATAAATATAAAATCTTGTGATCAATCAATGTTAGTCATGTTTCCAATGTTGGTTTGAATACATCAGTGATAAATCTCTTTAACTGTACACTATGTAGTGATTACTGAATTTTCTGTAGAAGCATAGGGTAGTGTCAAATTATAAAGAATTTCAAGAAACTGCTTCAGAATGTAGTTCGATACACGATTTCTTTTAATTAGTGATTATTATTACACCTTTTAAATGCACTTTATTTATACTAACAGAATTGATAGGATTTATAAAAGAAACACACCTCAATTTTCATTGAATTCAGTCTTTTCTACTTTTGTCTCACATTCAAATCAGTTGGGCCATTTTTGAAGGTTAAATATCAGGTAACAGTTATTTCAGTCTATTCGATCAATTCAATATAATTATCTTTATCACTATGGTGTTGTGGAGATCGCTAAGTTTTTTATTGAGATCATGAATCGATCAATCTTAGACCACTGTTGAAAACCTGAAAGCACTGAACGGCTGTTTCATCCCAGAATGGAACTCCTCAGAAGCTCTCATTCACGATCCCACACGCGACAGTCGAACTTAACACCTTCGGTCTTGCGCGATCGCTTAGCCCCTAAACCACTGGGCCGGCACCCAACGGTGTTAATCGCTAACTTCAACCGATCCACGATGTTGCGCGACCGTCTATTGTTGTCATCAGTGAGTAACTGCCTCGTGCGAAATCGAAAGTCTTGGGTTTGGTTGCTGGGTGCGGGATCGTGGATGCGCACTGCTGAGGAGTTCCATACTAGGACAAAACCCCCGTCCAGTGCTTCCAGGTTTTCAATGATGGTCTAACATTGATCTATTCATGATCTCAATCAAAAACAATACATTTTATGATATGATATTTCTTAAGCACATTATTTTTAAAAATAAATAACTAGATTAGTTGGGTAACTGTCTATTCACAGTGGAACTGTTGTTATTGCTTTGAAGGGACTAATAAGATAGACATTTGAACTATAGTTATTGTATCTTTTTATAATCAAATATTTTATAGCTTGAAAAACTTCGTTTATCTTTTCCAGTATATAACAATATACTTACTTACTTACTTACACCTGTTACTCCTCGTGAAGGAGCATAGGTCGCTCACCAGCATTCTCCATCCAACCCTGTCCTGGGCAATCCTTTCCAGCTCCTTCCAGTTGTAATTCATCCTTTTCATATCTGCTTCTATTATCCGACGTAATGTGTTCTTTGGCCTTCCTCTTTTCCGCTTCCCTTCAGGATTCCAAGTTAGAGCTTGCCTCGTGATGCAGTTTGACGATTTGCGTAATGTATGTCCTATCCATTTCCATCGTCTTTTCCTAATTTCCTCTTCAGCTGGAAGTTGGTTTGTTCTCTCCCACAGAAGGCTATTGCTGATGGTATCCGGCCAATGGATGTTGAGTATCTTGCGTAGACAGCTATTTATAAATACTTGTACTTTCTTGATTGTGGTTGTTGTAGTTCTCCAAGTTTCAGCTCCATACAGTAGAATTGCCTTGACATTCGTATTGAAGATTCTCACTTTGATATTGGTTGAAAGTTGTTTTGAGTTCCATATGTTCTTCAATTGTAGGAATGCGGCCCTTGCTTTGCCAATCCTCGCCTTTACGTCTGCATCCGAACCTCCTTGTTCATCGATGATGCTTCCCAGGTATGTGAAGGATTCTACATCTTCCAGAGTTTCGCCATCAAGGGTGATTGGATTGCTGTTCTCCGCTTTGAATTTGAGGACCTTGGTTTTCCCTTTGTGTATACTGAGGCCTACTGATGCAGAGACTGCTGCTACACTGGCTGTCTTCATCTGCATCTGTTCGTGTGTACGTGATAGGAGGGCTAGGTCATCTGCGAAGTCCAGATCGTCTAATTGATTCTGAGCTGTCCATTGTATTCCGTGTTTTCCTTCAGATGTTGAGGTCTTCATAATCCAGTCGACCACCAGAAGAAAGAGGAAGGGAGAGAGTAAACAGCCTTGTCTGACTCCGGTCCTTACTTGGAATGCATCCGTCAGCTGTCCTCCATGCACTACTTTGCACTGTAGTCCGTCGTATGAGTTCCGGATAATATTGACAATCTTCTCAGGAACTCCGTAGTGTCGAAGAAGTTTCCATAATGTCCTCCTATCTACACTGTCGAATGCCTTTTCATAATCAATGAAGTTGATGTATAGTGACGAGTTCCACTCAACTGATTGTTCGACGATGATCCGTAGTGTTGCAATTTGGTCTGTGCACGACCGATCCTTACGGAATCCAGCTTGTTGATCTCGAAGTTGGGCGTCTACTGCATCCTTCATCCGGTTCAGCAACACTCTGTTGAAGACTTTCCCTGGTATTGACAGTAGTGTAATGCCTCTGTAGTTTTCACATTTGCTCAGATCTCCTTTCTTTGGAATCTTGACGAGGTGTCCTTCTTTCCAGTCCATCGGCACTTGTTCCTCCTCCCAAATCTTTTTGAATAGAGGGTAAAGCATGCTTGTGGTTACTTCGACGTCTGATTTCAGTGCTTCAGCTGGTATGTTGTCGGGTCCTGCTGCTTTCCCGTTCTTGATTTGTCTGACGGCCATTCTAATTTCTTCCGTCGTTGGTGGGTTGACATCTATAGGAAGATCTGTGTGTGCTGCTTCGATGTTCGGTGGATTCATTGGAGCCGGCCTATTCAGGAGTTCCTCGAAGTATTCTACCCATCTGTTTCGCTGTTGTTGAATTTCAGTGATTGGCTTGCCTTCTTTGTCTTTGACCGGCCTCTCTGGTTTACTGTATTTCCCTGATAGTTTCTTCGTTGTATCGTAGAGCTGTTTCATGTTTCCTTCTCTAGCAGCTTTTTCTGCCGTCGTTGCTAATTCTTCAACGTATTTCTTCCTGTCGGCTCTAATGCTCCTCTTCACTTGCTTGTTTGCTTCTATGTATTCAGCTTGTGCTTGGACTTTTTCTGCTCGTGTTCGGCTGTTGTTAATTGCTGTCTTCTTGTTCTTCCTTTCTTTGATCTTATCCAGTGTTTCTATAGAGATCCATTCCTTATGATGGTGTTTCTTTAGGCCCAGAACCTCTTGACACGTTGAAGTCAATGTTTCTTTGATGCCTTTCCAGTTGTCCTCCATGGTAGTTTCTTCTTCCTTCAGTAGATCTTGAAAGGCTTGGAACCTGTTGTTGAGAGCTATCTTAAATTCATTGAGTTTGACAGTATCTCGAAGGAGGGCTGTATTGAACCTTTGTAGTGCTGTTTGTCCACTTGTCCAGTTCTTTTTTAGCTTCAATTTTAAATTGGCTACAACTAGGTTGTGATCTGAAGCTACGTCAGCACCTCTCCTGGTTCTCACATCTTCCATTGTCCTTCGGAATTTTTTGTTGATGCAAATATGATCTATCTGGTTCTCTGTAGTGTGGTCCGGTGAGATCCATGTAGCCTTGTGTATACGCTTGTGTGGAAATATTGTGCCTCCTATGACTAATTTGTTGAATGCACACAAATTTGCAAATCTTTCTCCATTTTCGTTTCTTTCTCCCAGTCCATGTCGTCCCATAATATCTTCATATCCAGTATTGTCTATTCCGACCTTGGCATTTAGATCTCCCATCAGAATGGTGAGGTCCTTTCTTGAGCATTTCTCAATGATTGACTGCAGCCGCTCGTAGAATTGATCTTTAATGTCGTCGTTGCTATCATTGGTGGGTGCATAACATTGGATAATATTCATTAAGATCCCCTCCTTCTTTGTTTTGAATGATGCTTTGATGATTCTGGATCCGTGGGATTCCCATCCTACAAGTGCATTTCGTGCTACTTTGGACAGCATTAGAGCAACTCCCTGAGTTTGTGGAGCATTTTCCTCTTCGCGACCGGAGTATAGCAGCATCTCTCCCGTAGCTAGCCTTTTCTGTCCAGCTTGGGTCCAGTGGGTTTCGCTGATTCCCAGTACTGCCAAGTTGTATCTCCTCATTTCCGTTGCTATTTGACTGGTCTTCCCGGTTTCCCACATTGTTCGAACGTTCCATGTACCTATAAAAATTTTTGCTCTGGTTGTTAGAAGGGGCATCGGCCTCGTGGCTTCCGAAGGAACTCGGCTTTCACCATGAAGCGTCATAATTCTTCTAAATGAAGACCTTCTAACTCTCAGGGCAGAGTTAAAATGGTTTGAATTATTTTTTCTGGCAAGCGTTTTTTTAGCGAGTTAGTTTTCTACGGGATGGGGACGCTAACCCCATGCCCAACCCTCCTCCTTTACCCGGGCTTGGGACCGGCAGTAACTCTAGAAGAGCTACAGGCGGAGTTATATAACAATATAACCTGTATGTTTTGCTCAGTTTTAGGTTAAGTTATCGTGTTAATTATGGTGAGACTGCTTTACAGTTGTGTGGTTCAAATTCAACTATCATGTGGTAAATTTATACCACGTTCCACCTACTTCATTTTGGAACCTGGATAGTATTACAGTCTCATACCGACCTGCGTACGCGGACACACAAAATGTGTGATTCAGAGCTGAGTGCCTGAACCTGTTGTACTTGGTTACTGGGTTACATGAAATTGTTGAATCAAAATTAATTCACTGTCAGATAACATGGTGATTTTTGATAAATCATGATTTTAACTACTAGAGGCAATAAAAATGTTAGAGAATTAACATGACATAATGATAGCTTGTACCCAGACGATAGATATATGTATACATATATCTTGAGACAGTGATCAAATCCATATTAATTCTGCCATTTTGGATCACGTCTCAGTTGGTATTTAAATGAGCATATGCATAACTCTTGACGATCTATCTGATGGTGTATAGTTAACCTCTTTGTTTTCAATACTCCCTGACCGTTTATTGAATGCACGAGCTTATGAGTAGGCTAAGTACATAATACTTATTACCATTAGTATAACTACTTTTACTTTCAACTTCCTAACTGTCATTTCAATGAAGTTTCTAAATGATGATCGTA